ATCTCCAGCTCTTGGAGAAGGACAAGCAGCAGCCGTTCTCCAGGTGGCCTGTGTCATCGAAGTTGATGTGGTGAGAGACAGGTGCAGGTTCTTTTAATGGATTCCAGTTTGTCTTCCCAGGGTCAGTTGTCTTTACTTCTCCCTGTCTTAAGTATGCTTTTTCTCCCTACCTGCCCTGCTGCCCTACAAAGGCTCAGGGCAGATGCATAAACTTTGCTAGTTTCCCTTTGTGGTCCTGATTAATACATTCTTCCTTTCCGCCCAATCATCCCCTTCCAGACTTTGCTTTCTCAGTGTCCCCTACAGATGTGTGATGTCTAATGACTATAAGAAGTTTCTTGCTCAGAGCCAACCTATAGGTTAAGGGAATAAGATCCCACATGGCCAACGGCAGTTAAACCCTAGCCCCAGTGACTTGAAAAACAGGCCAGGTGTGTGTGTACACGTCCCAAATCCTGAGCTGATGGAAAAACAGAAAGGATTACAGCCTGTTGTTCCCCATTGAGTCTGTGTGTGTGTTTTTCCCTCTTTCTCTGTCTCTCTTTGGAGAATGCACACCTCTCTGGCAATTAAAAAAATTCTTTATTCAAGTCTTTCATAGTAGTTCTGCTTCTCTAGTACAATTGCTTAAACTGTCTAGATTATCCAGGCTTCTTACACCCAACCTCCCTTCTAAGGACTACATTTTACATTTGACTTATTCTCAAGGGAGCAATAATGGATGATGATATTTTTAAATGCATTTTAAGTTTTTTCTTTTTTCTTTCTTCTTTTCTTTTCTTTTTCTTTTTTTATCTTTTTTTTTTTCAAGAGAGAAAGTGAGAAATCATTCCCCAGAAGGAATGGCAACCGGCAATCCCTTTTTCATTCTCCTCTCAGGATTTTGGGCATGCATACACATACGCCCAGTGTATTTTCCAAACTGCTGGGTCTAGGACCCCAACTGTGCAGTCAGTCATGTGGGATCCAGCCACCTTAAACACCATGCCACAGCTCACTATTTTTAAATAGACATCATGATAGACTAGGAACCAAATTAAAGCACTGGCTAGAATAAAGTGCATTGTTATTTTGGTCTGTGTTGCATCAGCTTAGCTTGAATTCTATCTGATGTATACATTCAACATTTCTTAATCAAGTTCATTTATTCAAAGCAAATGTACATTAAAAAAACTCTCTTTATCGTTACCTTCATTCTCTTTTATTCTTTACCTCAGCCTGGTTAAAAGTACATGCCCACTTACCTAACAAAGTTTCTGAAAAAGACTGTAACTATTGTGCAAAATGTGCAGAGTAGACAATTTCATAATCTGATGTGTGGATAATAATACACTATTTTTATTAATTTCACATTTAATATATATTCAAAGAGACACTGATTTAAAAAGAACTAATATTTACTATCAAGACCAACACAGGATTGCTGATATTCTTATTCTAGACTAGAGATTAACACTGAATTTCAGAAGGCAAGAGATAATTTTTATTTATTTCAACAAGTCCACTTAGCCTCTCTGAGACCTTCCTGTATAAAATTCAGTGAATATCCTTTCTGTATTGGCTTTCTGTGAAGGTAAAAGAAAGGACGTCAAAGTATGTAAAAACTGCCTAGCATAGCATTTACCATATTGGGTTATTGGGAAAGTCATGATGCAATTTTGCATAGAAGAATATTCATGACTTTCCAGACAACCTAATAGATGTCAATAATACTAATTGAATCTAAAGCTTAAATTATATTATTAAAGAATTAGTGGGGTGAGCAGATGGTATGCTGGTTAAGGTGCTGGATTCCCACATAGCTGACCATGGTTTGAGTAACAGACCTGGCAGCTTGAAAATCATGCTGGATGCCTGTGCATGCATGCCTAAAATCCCAAGAGGAGAATGGAGACGGGGGCAATGTGGCCATCCCCCCGGGGGGTGATTTCTCACTTTCCTTCTCTCTGTCTCTCTCTGACAAGTGAATATGACCTATGAAAAAAGCCTAAAGATAAATAAATAAGAATTAGTGTAAAGTACTAATTAAGGAATCCTAGAAAGTAAATACATAGCATTAATAAAGGTATTTAAAAATGTGTTAATGACAGAAGGATTTGCTCTATTTTCCAACATTGCCCCCAAACTAGAGAAAAGGGTAGCTCGAGATTGAATGGAGTCACACCACAAATGCACCTGTTCCAGAATCTTGAAATCAATGTCTCTCATATTATAACACATGCCATGACATAAATTCTTTCAGCCCTAGAGTTTCTCTGAACTACAACTAAGAAGTAGCTGAACTCTGCTTCACTATACTAAAGCCATATGGGAAGGTGTTCAGTTTGGATCCCAGGTTGATCTGAACACATTGGGCACACCTGTGGGCTGGAATGCTGCAGGGAGGATCCTAACATGGCTTGACCCTAGCAGGGGTCTCTCTCTCTCTCTCTCTCTCATAAAATAAATAAACTTTTAAAAAGTATATTAAATCAAGAAAACTGATGTTGGGCTGGCCCTAGAGTGCAGTTGTTAAGTACTGAGAATTGGGTGCTTATCCCTCATGGCTTACGGCACTTTGAATCCAGCCCAGGTAGCTTGAAAAACATGCTGGGCACATGTGAATACATGCCCAAACCCTAACAGAATGGAGAAATAGAGGAAAAGAATTGAGGCGTGACCATGTGCCATTGGGGGTGGACTCATTCTCTCTCTGGCAAGTGCATGTGCCCTCTGGATTAAAAAAAAAGAGAGAGAGAAGTAAGTTATTGTTTTATGATGAATACATGGAAAAAAACATGCTGGCAAAGGAAATCAATAGAACAATAGCTACCACCTGAAGTTTATCAAATGAGCAAAACTTATTATACTTGGTAATATAGAGAAGATTCACAAACAAGATTACAAACAAGATTAAGTAGTTCCTTAGTACAAGTCAGGACCTCTATTTGCTCTTTTGATAGACTTTGAAAAGTTTCTTTGAGGGGCCAGCAGGTGGTGTGGTGGTTGAGGTGCTGGACACTCCTTCATGTCTGACCACGGTTCGAGTCCTGGACCTGGTGGCTTGCTTTCTCACTTGCGCGCTCTCTCTCTCTCCCTCTGTGTGTGTGTGTGTGTCTGGTCAAATTATAATAAATTAATGAATTTTTAAAATGCTATTAAAAAATAGAAATTTTTTTGAAATAAAAATAAGTAAGATGCTGGCTCAAATTTCATTAGCTTCAAGTGTTAGAGTAGCCACAGAAGTATCTCACAGGAACACCTCCAAGATAATTGAATCTCAAAATAATGGTAGAAGCCTGTATCCAGGAAACTATTCTTTGGTGACATTTGTTGTTGTTAAGTCTCAAAAACCAGGGTCAAGGTCAAGGTCAAGGAAGAAGTCAGTGTCTCAGAGGCTCATGGTACTGTAAGTTTATCCTGTCTGCCATGCAAAGGTCTTATCGGAGAAATGTGGCTACCTGTGGTGCCAGAGGCAGCGTCATCTTCTAGCCATCCGTATTTTGGACTATGTGACCCAATCCTACCATAATTGATTAGGTCTGGACTGTCACCTTTGACATGGCACAACAAAGAGCAGGGTCAATTCGATTTCCTTTCTTTCTTTCTCTTTCTCTGGAATTTGAACAAGTCAGTATCTAGAAACTAAGTTCACTTAGCAGTAGAAATGGAAGCTGAAAAACAAGGAGGTAGAGTTTGGACAGGAAAGGCCACATCAGCCATGTGCAAGTGTAGTTATTAATTAACTGAGATTAAGAGGGCCAACCTTGCTGGTTGCTGACCAGAAGGAGCAGACACTGAACACACAGCTCAGCCCATTCAAATATGGTCTCCTCAAAGACAGGAACAATGTCTGACCAGTTTACTATTGTTTTCTCAGCAGTTAGCATTGTTGCTGCTTATTAAAAATTTAATCACTTGAATGTAATTAGTTAGCAGTGGGTTACTAGCGCAAACACTCATGTGGCCTTCCTTCCAGAAACACTATCTGGTCTCTGGCATCAGACACTGACATCTCTCTATGAAGTATCTCCTCCTTCAACACAGAAGACTTCTTATTAGTCCTGAAGCTCCAAGCCTTCCCTAGATTTCAGTTTGTTTATCTGCTTGATCCTTGTAAACAAGTTTCAAAACCAACTCTAATGAAGAGTAAGAGGATGATGTAAAAAAGGGAAAGGAGAGGAGAAGGGGACAGAGGGGTGAAAGAGAGAGATGACCCTTGATTTTTAAGCACTTTTTTTTTCTAGAGACATATATAAAAGACCTTTTACGACCTTCTTACAGAGTGGTTTAGACTGGGTGGGAGGCTAGAGAACTAGAGAATGGCAGCAACTTACTCAAGCAAATCCATCTCTTCACTCATGACAAGTGTTTAAGTCATTGGAGCAGACTGACAATATAAAATAAAACAACATTGTTGTTCTCTCCCAGTGAATTGTATTGTAGCGAATAAGAATAAACAGATTCCCAGTCTTCTGGTTAATGAACAAGATTAACGTTCCTTGGGTGGTCACTGAATAAAATGTACTCAAAGAGATAACTCATGTCCCTTCCCAACTCATCATTCCCTTCTTCATTATTTCTAGAAGGCATCCACTACTGTGTCTTCAAGATAATCTAAATTCTTGATTTATTTTTTCTTTCTACTTGTGAAGAAACTCTGAGATGATATGGAAAACGTTACCCCAGTAAACTTTGCTTTCATAAAGCAATATAATTCCCTTGGGCAATAAATGGCTTTCCAGGTCTAGTTCATTCCCAATTGTTGGGATTAAAGTATTCTCATGTGACAGGTAATGGGAAACTTAGCCTTCAGTTGAATACTAGCCCTGTACTTTTCAGAAGCAGCTGTGGGCCAAGCACACTTTCTGCATTGGCAGAAGCATGGACAGCCAATATTATCTGTATCTTGTTTCTTGTACTTTCATCTACAAGGTACCATAGCAGTAGGATGCCCTGTGTAGTTAAAAGTAATACATTAACTTTTATGTGGGGAGAGAGACAAAGAATAAAGTACTTACTTGGTCCTAGACCAATCGAGAAAGCAGCAACAAAAACAAGCAAGCTGGCTAAAGACAGCCACTTCAAAAAAGCTGGGACTTCTGCTGGGTCTGTGACTATCTGGTATTCCCTTTGGCTTACTCCAGCATTTAAGAAGGAGGCGGAGGTCATCTCTCCTTTGCGATCCATATCATTTCCCACAGGCATGAGTGAATTTCTGCTGTGGGAAGTGATCCCTTTGAAGTGTTCTCTCAGAGTTGTGTTGCTGGCTGACAGGTTTCTTGGCCCCAAGAATGCAGATTCAGCCAAGGACTGGTTGACAGGACTATGGCTCCTGCAGATGTTGGCAAAGTTCATGTGGATGTTGAGATTCACAATGCCCATGGTCAACAAGGAAGCTGCCATCACAGAGGAGCCAATGCAGAGGAAGGTTTTGCTGCCAACATGGTCTACTAGAAGAGTAGCCGGGATGGTGCTGATGACCTTGACTACCCCAACTCCAGTGGAGGCAAGGCTAGCTGCCTCATTGCTTTGAAAACCAACAGACTTCAAAACAGTTGATGCATAGAATAATATGTTTGGCTGGCCAGTGATTTGTACAAAAAATACCAAAGTTAGGCCTATCATAATGCGGGTCCTCATGTTGTCCTTTGAACGAAACAGATCCCAAAAACTATACTGATATTCTTCCTTTAGGGAAGACTTTATCACAGTGAGCTCCTCAGTTGTGTCTGAGATTGCTCTCAACCTTCCCAGAACCTTGCTAGCAGCTTCCTCTTGTCCTTTCATCACCAGAAACCGAGGACTCGGGGGAAGAAAGTACATGGCAATTGCCTGCAAAACTCCCAAAGGAATGACAAGACCGAACATGTACTTCCAGCCATGGGAAACATTGGCAAATGCATAATTTGAAATATAGGCAAAAAGGATGCCGATGACGATCATCAGCTCATTCAGTGACACAAGAAGACCTCTTCTGTGCTGAGGAGCAATCTCTGCAATGTAAACACACGTAGCAATGGAAGACAGGGAAATGGATACCCCGATAGCAATGCGTCCCACTATAAGAGCCGTGTAAGATAAACTGAGTATCAAGACTAAGCTTCCAAGTCCGAGTAGGCAGGATGACAAGATGATGGCCGTCCTTCTTCCATACTTGTCTATCAGGACCCCTCCTGTGAGAGAGGCGAGTAAGGCTCCCATGAGGAGGGAGCTCACCACCATTTCCTGCTCATGGCAGCTCAGGGCTAGTAAGGTTCTGATCTGAAGAAGAGCCCCGGAAATGAGCCCAAGTTCATAACCTACCAGGAGGCCACTGACAGCAGCAGTGACAGACGACAGGAAAGTGAACATGCCACAACCTACAAGCAGAAGGGAGAAGAGGAGAGGTCAGTTCTCAATTACTTCGAACACTTTATCTGACCAGAAACTTAACCCAGTTTAAGGATTTCATATATGGCTCTGAATTAAACACACCGACAACAACAACATTAAAGTAATACATAAACTCAAAAAATGTTTAGATATTGAAGGAAAATCATTTTTTTTCTTTTTAAGAGAAGAGGCATGGAGACCCTTGGGAAGTCTAGTTTCCTATTATTTCTATTTATGTTATTTTTAGTTGGCTCTGCAAGATGAGCAGATAACAGACTACAAAGATTGAATAAACACAAATGTATACGATTCAGTTCATGTCTTGGCATTGGAATTAAAATTCAAATGGCCTAGCTCCTCCAGCTCCACCCCAGTTCTCTAAAGGCAAACTTTTGCAGTTAGGATAGAAGGATAGGAACCTTGAGAAGTGTCCCAGGCTTCTTGCTGAATAACCTGGGCCAAGATGAAACACAGCACCCAGGAAACTTGCCCTCCTGTCTCCTCAGCCACATTTGGCTTCTGCTGAAGCACAGGAGGGTACTGGGACAGAGAATGGGGTGGGTGTACAGGATATGTGAATGTTCTAAGAAGTCAAGGTTGTATTAGAAAGAAAGAAATGAGAAATGCATGCAGGATAGAGAACCAATAATACCCATTATTCACTCACAGTAAGGAAAAGGGAAATGGAACATAGGGAGAACAAAAGGACTTTAACTTGTATTGTTGTTCTTTTATTTCACTATTAAAATCCAAGAGGGGCCAACAGGTGATGTGGTAACTAAGACTCTGGACTCCCACATGACTTATTGTGGTTTGAGTCCCGGACCTGGTAGCTTACTCTCTCACTTTCCCCTCTCTCTTTCTCCCTGTTTCTCTCTGGTCAAATTAAAAATAACATGAATTAAAAAACCCCAGGAACTCTCTATCTGCTGCCCGCAAGAAACACATGTCACAGATAAAGACATACATAGGCTAAAAGTAAAGAGCTGGAAAAAGATATTCCATACAACTGGAAACCAAAAAGGGACTGAAGTTGCAATACTGATCTCAGACTAAATAGACTGTAAGATAAAAAACTGTAAGAAAAGACAAAGAATGGCATTATATAGTAGTAAAAAGGTGAATTCATCAATAAGATATAACGCTTATTAATATCTATGCACCCAACTCAGGAGCACCCAAATACATAAAGGAAAGACTGTTAGATCTAAAAGGAGTGCTAGACTGCAACACCCTAATTGTTGGGTATCTCAACACCTCCTTTAGACAGATCATCTAGATCACAAAAATAAACAAAGATATACAGGATCTAAATTATACCATAAATCAAATGGACTTGACGGGCATCTGTAGAACCTTCCACCTCAAAGTCACAAAATATACATTTTTCTCACCCCCACATGGAACACTTTTTAGAGACTGACCTTATAATAGGGCACAAAATAAGCCTTTACAAATGTATAGGTATAGAAACTATATCCAGCATCTTCTCCAACAATGATGGAATTAAACTTTATATCAATTTCAGAATACCTCCCTGAACATACACAAACACATGGAAACTAAACAACTTACTCCTGCATGATTTCACAACTAGAGAAGAAATTAATACTGAAATAAAAAGTTTCGTGGAGACCAATGACAATGAATACATGAGTCTCCATAATCTATAGCAGTCAGTATGCGTAAGAAAAAAATGGAGAGGTGAGGGGCTGGCAGATGGCATGGTGGTTAAGAGCACTGGACTCCCATGTAGCCAACCATGGTTTGAGTCCTGGAACTGGTGGCTTACTTTCTCACTACCCCCAGCCCCTGTTCCTCTCTGGTCAAATTAAAATGGACGAGTAAATAAACAAAGTTAAATTAAAAAAAAAAGAGATGGAGAGGTGACAAATGGAAAACCTAACATACCTCAGGAAACTGGAAAAACAAACAAAAAAATCCAAAAAATGCCAATAGGAAAGAAATAATAAAGATTCAAGTAGAAATAAATGAAATAGAAAAGAAATGAACCATACAGAAAATAAATGAAAGCAAAATCTGGTTCTCTGAAAAGATAAACATGATTGACACACCATTAGCTATCTGGCAATTCCACTTTTGGGTATCTACCCAAAGGATAGGAGAATGCTCAGTCAGAAGAGTACTTGTACATCTATGATTATTGCGGCATTATTCACAATTGCCAACTCAAATGTCCATGAATAGATGAATAGCTTGAAAGAAGTGTGGCACATACACTCTATGGAATACTACTCAACCATAAAAAAACAGCAAGATCCTAGCATTTGATAGAAAGTGGACAAATATGGAAGATTTACTGCTGAGTGAAGCAAGTCAGGCTATGAGAGATGCTGCATGTCTGAAGACTGTGGGAAGAGGGTGGGGGGGGAGTATCAGGAAATAAAGAGAAAAAAGAGAGAGGCAAGACATTTATGGGAGACAGAAATGGATTATTACCTCTTGATGATAACATGTATAGTACCCTGAACTGATTGGTATAAAGTATATTCATATTGGGTAAATTCACTTTACAAGCTAAGTGATGTATCCTGCTGAATGTATAAAACAAATTAAAATAAAATTTTAAGAAGTTATACAATAACAATAAATAAAATTAAAATAAATCATTCTTACCAAAAAAATCCAAAGAAAAGTATCAAACAGTTCAGAGTGACTGACTTTCTGTAGTAGGTACACAGATGTTATATGTCTGTAGCTTGTCAAAAGAGTAAACAAAAAGCATGTAAAAAACATTCCTCGCACAGGAGACAGGAATATCCAAGGCCTTAAAACAGGGAAGTTCTTGCTGTGTTTCAGGAACTGCAGCTGGCCAGCACATGTGTACGATACAGTGTGAGGCATGAAATGAATTTGGATAGATATGGAGGCAGAACTTCAGGTTAGGCCTCGCCAGTCACAACGGATGGGTTTTTATTATACTTCAAGTGCAGTGGGGCTGACACCCAGTACACTGCCATTATACAGAGGGCATTGACACGATGGTTTTTCTGTTTGTCAAGGCTGATACTACTGCTGTACGAAGACCATTTCTTCAAGGCCAAGACTGATAACTGGGAGGAGTTTGCTGCCTGGGTTTCGACAAGAGATGATGGTAACTGAGACTTGGATGTTAAGAGAGTAACTGGAGACAGGTAGACAGATGACGGTATTTGGACCTAAAAATGATTACACTTTGTCATGAATTAGAGGTGGCGGGTAAGGAAGTAATATTCTGATTAGAGAAGTAGTGATTTGGGGAGAGCAAAACACTTGGATGGCAGACCGGGCCAGGCACCTGGGTAGGGGTATTTAGAGTGACAGGCACCACCCTGGAGATACTGAGTTAAGGACATGAGGAAATCAATGCCAGAACTGCTTCGGTAGCGGAAGTACATTATCCTTGCCACCTTGCCCTTCACTTTTCCTTCCTTGTTTTCTCTTCTATTTGATGGGAAATACAGTTTCC